GGCTGGATTCGAACCCACCAGCTCAGGTGTATGTGGCTGGTACCTTAGCCACTTGAGCCACAGGCGCCGAGCCTGCAGCTGTTGTAGTTTGGCAGGCCTGGGCTAGATTCGAACCCGCCACCTTAGGTGTAGGTGGCTGGCGCCTTAGCGTCTTGAGCCAGAGGCTCCAGCCAGGTTTTGTTTTTACTTCTAAAAATATCTACATTCAATTCACAATTAGTGTTATGTGACTTCTACAAGTAGATGTTACCCTAAATTAAGGTCTTTGTTAAGCCATAGTCCTTCCCCATAAAATACTCTCCTTGGAATTACCAAGAAAAGATTGTTTTTATAAGCTCTTTAAGCCTAGGAAACTCTTATTGTATGCATTCTGGCTATTATTACAAAGACCCATCTGTTTGGTCAGCACAGCACAAATTGCTATGAAACAATTCCTGGATTATCTAGTCTTCTGGGGCTACAGCATAGATGACTTTAACCCAGAACTTCCCATAGGGGTGGAAGAGATTAAACGTTGGGTTGGGACAACGTTTAAAACACTGTGGTGTGTTTACTGTCTCTGACACCTGACCACAAAATGCCAGCAATGTCTTGCAATCATTGTGACAGCCCAAAAAAATTGTCTTAAAAGCTTCTTTCTCCCTTTCCCCACCTGACACACTATGGGGTCCAGACCCCTTCTGTACTGGCAGAATGGAGCAGAAGGTAGAGCCACCCAGCACCCTTGCAGCAGCTGCTTCTGCAGCTCCGCTGGATCACAGCACATCTCTGAAGAACCCATACAAAGTTTCCTGTTGGAGGTTATAGATTCTGTACCCCCCAACAAACTTACAGGCCAGGCACCTGGAAGATGTCATGACTATTCTCAGGGCCTAGCGTGATGAAGCTCAATCATGTTCCCATTGCGCTATCTAATCAGTGTCTCACAGCCCCCAGGAAGATCCACGTTCTGTGTGAGTGCGGGTGTGCGGGGTGGGGATGTACCATCTTACTCCTACAGAGGTTTCTAGCAGACAGGGGCAGGATTCCCAAAATGAGGATACAAACTTCCCTACTACTTTATTTCCCTTTAAGTAGCAGGCCCAGAACTTAGGAAAAAACAGATAACCCTTGATTTCCCAACTATTGTTGGGTTAAGCCAATCTTCTCTGTAGCACTGTAATACCAATCTTGTAACTATTTCCATGTGGCCTGCCATACAGCTGCATAAATCCCATTTTGAACAAGGAAATTGGCATTTAATAGCGATTCTTAGTTTTTCTAATTTTATATTCAAAAAGATCCTTTCATGGCTAGCTTAAATATTAAGAATATATTTTCTGGCTCGGCATCTGTAGCTCAGTGGTTAGGGTGCTGGTCACCAGGGCTGGTGGGTTCAAAGGCAGCGTAGGCCTGCTAAACAAACAAATGACAACAAACAACAAAAATAGCTGGGTGTTGTGGTCGGAACCTGTAGTTCCAGCTACTAGGGAGGCTGAGGCAAGAGAATAGCTTTAGCCCAAGAGTTTGAGGTTGCTGTGAGCTATGATGCCACTGACCTCTACAGAGGGTGACAAAGTGAGACTTTGTCTTGGGGGAAAAAATATACATATACATGTATATATGTATGTGTGTGTGTGTGTTTTCTCTTAAACATAGCTTAAAGTGACATAGCCAGTTACCATTTTACAGCACAAATGTCTCCTAAGAATATAACCAGGCAAGTCATCCAGCTTATCTTTCTTCTACAAAGAACGCTCACTACTCTAAGCCATTTTGGGAAAAAGAGAAAGAGATTATCCACCTGTCTTCCTAAATACTGCAGCAAAGGAGATTCAAGGGAAAGTTTCCTGAAATGGGGAGTAGAGAGCTTTTGGGACAAACATCAGACCTAACCTGATCGACTCTAGGATCCTGTCCTGCCTGACAGTGTGAACTTGAAGGCGGCAGAATAACAATGTCAATCAAAATCTGGAGACCAAGGAATAGTTAGTTGGTGGAGCCTGGGGCTTATCATAGCAAGGATCCAGGACAAAAGGAGTGTGGAGAGAGGTGAGCCTCCAGAATCAGTCCTCAGGGAACTCCCACCAGGGGCCCAGGTGAGGCCTATTTGGGGTCTGAGCTGTGAATGGCTCCTTCATAGCAACCATTCCTGGGCACAGTGGAAAAGGCAGCCCCGGCCACAAAGCCAGGGTGGGTTTTGGCTTAGCCCTTCTGAGCCCAGACAGCAAAGAGTTCTCACTCCGAATGACTCCCCAGCAGCAGGACTCCAGACAGAGATGGTCCTAAAGAAATAAGTATTTGTGGGGGTAGAGCAGGGGAGGGGGCGGGAGGAGGAGGGGCCTTCCAGCCTGCCCTAACCTCAGTGAACCTCAGGCCATCTTGGCCTTGCCTTGAAAGTGGCTGATTCCTCCTCCCTATAATCTGCATACCACCTACAGTCTCTGGCTTCCTACATTTCCATCAAGAATTCTAGATATTCCTGCTCTCATGTTTAAATGACAGCTCTTGCCCAGATAACGCGGCCTCTTTGTGTGACATCCTCCAATTGTCCATGCCTCTGAGTCAGCAAGGAAAGCATAAACTCTAAAAAGTCAAGATGTGAAAAATCCCTTATTGGGCAGAATCCCACTCGTGACAGCATTCCTTTCTCCGAGGCCCTACTTGACCTGAACTCAGTGTTCTCAAAGCAGACTCCTGGAGCAGCAGAGGATAACTACGGAAAACACCAATTCCACCGACCCCGACACACTAACTCCGGGGAGGCACAAACTGCCCATCCCCACGGAGTGAGTTCTCGCTCGTAAACAACAGAAGCACCCCACGGGCAGACTGGCGCTCTTCCTCTCCACTTAGTGCGAGCCGCTATTTCACATCTCCTCGTCCCATCAAGCACTACAGTTTTGGCTCGGTGCCTATAGCTCAACCGGCTAAGGCGCCAGCCACGTACACCTAAGGTGGCGGGTTCGAATCCCCAGCCAGGACCCGCCAAACAACAATGACGGCTGCAACCAAAAAATAGCCGGGCGTTGTGGCGGGCGCCTGTGGTCCCAGCTACTTGGGAGGCGGAGGCAGGAGACTCGCTTGAGCCCAGGAGTTGGAGGTTGCTGTGAGCTGTAATGCCATGGCACTCTACCCAGGAGGACGGCTTGAGGCTCTGTCTCAAAAAAAAAAAAAAAAAAAAAAAAAAAAGCACTACAGTTTTGTAGTTTAATTAATAGCATTCAATAACAACATTTGTTATTGGCAGTTAGACAGATTTTAGGTAGCAGCTGTCAGCTTTGAAAATTGACATCTTTAGGGAATAGCAGACTAGCCCTTGCCAACCCTCACTGTGGCCTCGATTCTGAGAGCTATTTTATTTATCATCTCTCACTTACGGGCAGACTCAAGGGTGGCTAAAAAGTGAACCTTCACACCTACTGGAAACTAGAGAATGAGCTCCCTCATCAGCTCCTTCATATTCCAAAGGAGTTTTCTAATGTTCACATCAGAACTGAAGCAGGCAGCTAAGTGGCCTTGACTGGACAGGGATGAAACAGCAAGTGTCATCTCAGCTCCAGGGGCCTCGCAGTGCCAGTCTTAGAAAAACCAGAGAAGAGACAGAGAGCTCTCAGCACAAACTGCTGAACAGAACTTTGGAATTTTCTGTACACTGAGACAATTGCTTTGTGTTTTTCCCAGGAAACAGCAGAACCTCCTTGCAGCCCTGACATAATTACAGAGCCTTGCTCTACCAGAATGTCCGGAGAAAACCAAGATAAGCGATACGCCACCACAGGTTGTGACCAGGAGCCACTGAGCTTACACACGAGGCTGAAGAATGAACAATATTAACCCCCGGCTCATGATCATACTAAAATTCCTACCCGGAGGAGGGATTTGCCCACCATTTTCTGTTTGTGGGACATGTGAACTAACACGATTTCCTACTGTACTTGCGTGCCCTGCACTCCACCCCAAGTATGCAATGGGGTCCACTCCCTCTACGTATTGTTCATTTTCACCTCCATAAAAACCCCTCAACCCTGCCGATCTGGGAGGTGGATCTGAGGTAGCATGTGCCTCCCCCTCCCGTTGAGGTGTCCTCTGAAACAAATCCTGTCTCCCTTGACAATCCTCATTGTCTCGGAACTGGCTTTGCATTCGATGAGCAACAGTGAACCCCCCTTGGGTTTGTTAACAGATGTGTTTATGGGAAATCCAAACTCAATCTGAAGGGCAAACTTTTTTCCCCTATGTTGTTAGGTCCCCAGCGACCCACAAAAACATGATTTTAGTCTGTCAAATACCTTCTAAGTTTTTTTTTTCCCTAGTAATAGAGAAGTGAAGAAATACTAGTTCACTATAGGAAAAAAATTTTTTAGAATAAAAAGAAGAGAAAGATAATTACCCCTAACACCACTGTTCTTACAAGGCTTGGTTTCTTTACTTTTAGGATTTTTCTATTAATGCAAATGTAATTGTATTTTATTTTAGAAGCATAATAATTCTCTCTCTTTCTCTTTCTATGTATATAGTTATAGAGATAGTTTCATGACCTACTTTCTCCTCACCTAATTTACAAACACATGCCAATACAAAAGATAACTGCACGACAAATTGTGAAATTGCCTGATGTAGCTTCCTTTTCTCTCCCAAAGCCTGACATTAAAAGATGTAGGAAGGAAAACATATTCGAGAAAGAAAAAACTCAGAATCAGGATTCAAAACTCTGGCTTTACAGTTTTACTGAAAATATTCATTGACTTGGGCCTGAATCCCAATCTGCTTCCTGTATTATAGGTACCTAATGAACAGTTTACAAAATCAATACAGACGAAAAGGCCAGAACGTGGTCACCGTGGTCCCTGTTGCTACAACAAGATTGTCACTATGTCATAGACAGACTGAAAAATCAGTGCATACAACCATCACCTTAACAACCACCTAAAACACAAGCAAGCATTTTATGGCTTGATGCATAATTCTGAGCAAACAGACTCTTAAAAAGTCGGTGTCCTTGGTGGCCCCTTTAACAGTAGGAGTTATTAAAAAGTTGAAGAGAAAAATGCCAACATGCTGGGAAATCACTGTATTTATATCAGCTACCATCAGTATTGTTTAGTGTCACCCAAAGGAAGATTACAATGTGGCTATGACAAGTTGAAATTTTTTTTTGTAGAGACAGAGTCTCACTTTATCGTCCTCAGTAGAGTGCCGTCACGGCACAGTTCACAGCAACTCCTGGGCTTAGGTGATTCTCTTGCCTTAGCCTCCTGAGTAGCTGGGACTACAGGTCCCCACCACAACGCCCAGCTATTTTTTTGCTGCAGTTTGGCTGGGGCCGGGTTTGAACCCACCACCCTCGGTATATGGAGCCAGCTCCCTACCCACTAGGCCACAGGCACTGCCCGACAAGTTGAAATTTTTATATTGAAACATAAACAAAATGTAAACACTGAAGTAAAGGCTAAATGAGAAAAGGCTACTGTCAAAGGGAAGCTTATTATCAGTGAAAAATATGCCCAGAACATAACTGACCATTTCTATCCTTGACTTTTCTTCTCTAGCAATCTTTTCAACTTTCTACAGGTGGAATGACCCCCACCGTAAGCATCTGAAACACAGCCTATTTATATCTATTACCTACTTTTGCAGGAGCTGCCTTGACTACTTAAGAACAGCACTGTGAGTCTCAGCAGAAAAAGGACTTGTCCTGCCTTTCCTGGACTGTGCACAGAATGGGAATGGATGAAGCACTTGGTATTCTTTCCAGCAACAGCAGAACAAATGCTATTTCCTTTGGCACACAAAGCTGCCAGGACATTTTGGCTCAGACTGTCTCTTCCTCACTGTGGGCTCCCATTCCCTCCATGGTACTGTAGCAACTACTATCCCTTCATCTTTAAAGGGTTCGCTAGGCAGTGGAGTTGCAGCATACTGTATTTTTATGTTCCTTACCTCATATAAATACAAGTAAGATAAAGGAAGTTCAAACACCTAAAGTCCACGCTATAATACTAACTTTTCACTTGTAGTTAATTTACCCCTTCCTCAGATGGTATTTGTTTGGCTGCCTCATGATTGCTGAAACTCATCTGAATTCTTTTCCTGTAATTTTAAAGTCTACAAAAATGGCCTTAAGTAATTCTCAAGACTTACCATGAATACAAGATGCATCCAAGCAAGAGGAAAGTACCCAGCCCAGTGACCAAGTTTTCATCTCTGTATAAGTCTTGACCAAAGTTGGGCACACAGATTGTAACATTCTTCCCATGTTCATCTAGAACTTATGAAGAAAAAACAAATTGTTACAGAAAAGTCTACTGAAACTCACAGAAGCATTCATTTGGGGAAAATTCAGGTAGCTTTGGTGTTCCTCCTTAGAACAGTGAAGATTCATCACTTTATTTTTTTATACTTAATTTTTTTTATTAAGTCATTTGTACACAGATCATAAATACATTTATGCCATCATAAGATTCAATGTGTTGATTATTTGTACATATTGGAATGCTTATAGCCTATTAAGCAACACAGCCTTCACCACTTTTATCCAATTACAGGATTAAGACATTTATGCTCTACACCTGATAGATCCAACTTGTACTTGCAATAAGTTCTATAGGTGTGATCCTCCTACCAACCCTCCCTCTACTGTCCCACCCCGCTCCCTTCCCCTCTCCCTCCCCTTCCGTTCTTCATCCTTAGGTTATAGTTACTTGTACTTGCAATATGTTCCGTAGGTGTGATCCTCCTACCAACCCTCCCTCTATTGTCCCCTCTCCCTCCCCTTCCCCCCCTCCCCTTCCCTCCTTCATCCTTAGGTTATAGTTATGTTTCCTTTTCAAATGCAAGTGTGAGTGATTGTAAATTGGTTTCCAATGTACTGAGTACATTGGATATTTTTTTTTCTATTACTAAGAAGAAAATTTTCCATTACTAAGAAGAATATTTTCCAGTTCCATCTATGTAAACATAAAAGACAGAAAGTCTTCAGTGCCCATCGACCCATGAATGGATTAATAAATTATGGTATATGTATACCATGGAATACTATGCAGCATTAAAAAATGAAGATTCATCACTTTAAACGTCTCCATAGTCTGCTTCCGCTCTCTTACGTCAGTGCACACTTGGAACAAGACCCTCGGATTCCAGCTCAGTGCTAAGGGGCCCAACAGTTCCAGGAACAGAGGAGAGTTTCCCTCTTCTTCAGTACCATTCAGACAATAGCGTAACAAAAGGAAAAGTCTGATTCGTTTTCCAGCTGACTGGGCAGCGCCTGGAGAGAGTAGAGTGCAAGTACTAAGGAAGGCGTAGGCTGGTCAACAACCAGAAATGGCCTGACAAACGCCTCTACCCTAGTTGAGAAGTCATTTTAAAATGGGTGACAGGATGGTCGTGACACCTTTCAGCATGTAACTAGGGAACCTCCTGAGGTGGCCTGAATTTTTAAAAACTTGAGAGAGACTATATGTGATATTGTGAAATATATATTTAGTCTTTATTCTCATTTCCTGGTGTACAACTTCTAACATCCCTGGAATGCCAAAATAATGACTTTCAGTATGGTAATGACTGACTACTGGCCAGCAGCCCCAGGCACAGCTTCAGGATGGGGCTGCTCACCAGGAAGAGAAGGCAGGATTAGAGAAAGGGTTGGGATTTTCAGCCCCACACCATGACCTCCCAGGAGGGGAGGGGACTGAAGGTTAAGTCTGTCTCTAATAGCCAATGATTTAATCAGTCATTACCTATGTAATGAAGTCTCCATAAAAGGCCAAAAAGGAGAGAGCTCATAGACCTTCCAGACAGCTGGAGGCTTAAAGAAAGATGAATAAGGCTTGGTGCCTGTAGCTCAGCAGCTAGGGCGCCAGTCACATAAAACAGAGCTGGTGGGTTTGAATCCAGCTCGGACCTGCCAAACAACAATGACAACTACAACCAAAACATAGCTGGGCATTATGGCAGGTGCCTGTAGTTCAAGCTACTTGGAAGGCTAAGGCAAGAGAATCGCTTAAGCCCAAGAATTAGAAGTTGCTGTGAGCTGTGACATCATGGCATTCTACCAACGGCGACATAGTGAGACTCTGTCTCAAAACAAAAAACAAAAGAAAGGTGAATAAGAACTTATCCATGTTCATGGGGAGGGTGGCACATCTCAACTCCACAGGGAGAGAAGTTTCTGCACGTGGGCCAGACCTCACCTTACATCTCTCTACATCTGGCTATTCATTTGTATCTTTTAAAATATCCTTTGTAGGCTTGATGCATAGTCCTAGCACTTTGGGAGGCCAAAGTGGGAGGACTGCTTGAGGGGCAGGAGTTGGACATTAGCCTGGGGAACACAGTGAGTGCCCCATCTCTACAAAAATTATTAGGGTGTCATGGGCTTATGCCTGTAGTTCCAGCTGCTTGGGAAGGTGAGGCAGGAGAATCACTTGCACTCAGGACTTTGAGGTTGCAGTGAGGTATGATGATGTACCCAGTGTGACAGACAGAGACGGGGTCTCAAACTCCTGGCTTAAGCAATCCTCAGCCTCCCAGAGTGCTAGGATTACCTGTGTGAGCCACCTCACCTGGCGGTAGGTATCTTTTTGATGCAATGATTTCTTTTCCTTTGGGTAGATACCTAGTGGTAATGTTGCTAGGTCAAATGGTAGTTCTATTTTCAGTTCCTTGAAAAATGTTAGTATTGTTTTCCATAGAAGCTGTACTAATTTATATTCCCACCAACAGTATTTGCTCGGCACCTGTGGCTCAGTGGTTAGGGTACTGGCCACATACAACAGAGCTGGAGGGTTTGAACCCCACTGGGGCCTGCTAAACCACAATGACAACCACAACAAAGAAATAGCAGGGTGGGCTCGGCACCTGTGGCTCAAGCGGCTAAGGTGCCAGCCACATACACCTAAGGTGGTGGGTTCGAATCCCCAGCCCGGACCCGCCAAAAACAACAAGGATGGCTGCAACCAAAAAATGGCCAGGCATTGTGGCGGGCGCCTGTAGTCCCAGCTACTTGGGAGGC